TCCAAAGCAAACAAAACCCTGAAAATTTCAATTTTCCTATTTAATGCCATTTAGTTTTCTTTTTCATTTTTCCATCTCTAAGCATCTAAGCAATATCTGTCAATGTAAAACAAAATAATTGTGCATATACGACCAGTACTTATGTAGCACACTGTTAAATTTACACTCAGACAAAAACAGATAGACAGGCCGACACACCTACAGCGGATGTGACAAATATTTATTTTCTTCTCAGTCGGAGTCCTGACGCAGTGGCCTTGACAGTGGCCACTGCCTGTAGGTGTCTTATTACTGGCCCAGATCAGTTCCAACCTGTCTGACTATAAAACACCTTCAGCAAGATTTTGTGTCTGCAGTACTGCTGGATGAGTCCTCTTACTAAACCTATATATCTAAACGTATACAGTCTGAGCTTTATACATTTGAAAAAAAAAAATCCCAGAAGATTAAGAAACACATATTAGAACACACATTACTCAAGATGTGCTGCAATAGTTTGTAGAAATCTGATTGACATTTTCTTCTCCTTTAAGATGGTAAACATCACATCACACAATCTGGATATAATATCATAGTAAAGTTAAAAGTTTGTGCAATCTTCTCTTTCATCTCAGTCCTGTTTGCTTCATCATCTGCCTCTCTTGCTTGTACCAGCACTACTGTTTTAGTTTTCATGGTGATTTAGCAATTAAATGTCCTACCTCTGGTGCCCTTGGGTCTTTGGCATTTTCTAACTAAATACTAAAGAGGTAAAAAGCACGACAGCAAAAATACTGAGACAGTAATGCAATTAAACTACACAAACTGAACCAGAAAGCTCCACTTTCTCATTTAGAAATGTATTTTTGTTATTTGGCGTCATTAAACCTAATAACCTCAGTTGTGCAAGGCAGTGCCCCTCAGGTAAGACAACACAGTACTTCCTGATTCTAGCTATATGCTCACACAGACAGGTCCAGAAGTCTTATAAATACAATGCAAATACAATTTTATATAGTATATCATTGTCATATTATTAACACGCAAGCAGCTAATTACTATAATTTGTCTAAATTCTGGCTTTATTTGATAGTGTTACGCTCCCTCTAGTGGTCACTGTTGGGTGACATAAGTTCAAATTCAGTCTTAGATAATGGTGAAATGCAGCGAGTGTGCAATTAAGCATTTGTCTCTCAGTAAAAATATATCGTTGTGACTGTAAAATAAATTAATGCATTGACTATTAATGGTGGCTAGCACTGTTGCCTCACACATCAAGAAGGTCCAGAGTTGCACTCCACCATCTGGCCACCATCCGTGGCCTTTCTGTGTGGGGTTTGCATGTTCTCCCACAGTCCAAAGACATCAAAGTAGTGGGGTTAGGTTAACTGGTAATTCTAAATTGTCCATAGATGTGAATGTGTATCGTTATATGCGTCAGATTGGCAACCTGTCCAGGGTGTACCTGCCTCTCGCCCTATGAAAGCTCAGATATTCTCTAGCGCCCCCCTGAGAACGATAAGGTTAAGCGAAGAGAATGGATGATGGATGGATGGATAGATGGATGGTTCTTTTGTAAATTGTTTTCTTGATTTAAAAGATTTAAATATGTTTAAGAAACTATCCTGCTTGCTCATGCTAGGTTGTTTGTATAGATACAGTAAAAGGAATAAAGAGTATATTTTACATGTCTAGACAAGCACATCTAAACAACCAACAGAGTTTCAGCCCCCAACAATCTGTAAAGTAGAAAAATTAAACCCAATTAAAAATGATTGCTGCTAGCATTCATAAAGGAAACCAGTATTAAATATTTTTGAGGGAGAAAAGAATGGGACACTTAAACGAAACTAACCACTAACTGGTTCAGATAAGGGCTGATCATTCCTGCACGTTAAGTTGGAGTAAGCTTTGCCAATATTGCTCATATGCTCATATCCCCCTAAACTCAGGAATGAGGAATGTACATGAGGTGGCTTTCCTCCCTACTGTGTGCTTCAAATCCCTCCAAAACATTTATTTTGGAGAAGGTTACAACTTTGATCTCACGTTTGCAACATACTATCTTTATTCTTCTTCTCTGGCCATTCTTTGGTATGATACCTTACTCACTTAATGATTACAAGCCACCGTGGCCCAGATGCAGCAAAACAGACTTTCTTCTTACAGCCCTTTAACTGTTTAGAAGTAATTAGGAGCTCCTTTATGGCCTCCCAGACTATTACACGCATCATTCTTATTGTGATCTTTGTTGTTTCGACTCTTGGGAGGGTAGCAATAGTTTTATATTTACTTGATTAGTACACAGTCTTTCTGACGGTATGTTGTAGGAGGTCGAAATCTTCAGAAATGGTTCTGCAAATCTTTTTAGTCTCAAGATAATCAATTAACATTTTTTCTGAAGTGCTTTCAAATCAAACCCATGATTCATTTTCTTGATTGTGTTATGAAGTTCAGACTGTCCAGAACATTCCAAAGATTTCCAAAGTCTAATATTTTTGACACATTTGGTTTACTTAGCTTTCTTTATCTTATTTTGTATCTTGTATCATAAAATAATAAAAAAGGTCAGTTGATATTTTAACTGATATTTATGTAGATATACAGAATATCTCAAAGGAGTCACAGACCTTTCTTCTGCAGCTGCTTTCTTCTACCGTGGCTGCTTATTTATTCATGTGATCAGTTGCATTTGAAATCTTCTACTTGGAAACACATGGTTTAGTTGTTACAGTTTATTACACAATAAAGTTGAGAGAAGTTTCACGGAGAATGTACAATTTATCTTTTAAATTAATACATACTTACTGAAGTGTACCTGTAATATTAAAAGAGGTAGATACCAAACAGGTTTTAATTTCTATTCTGGGCTAAAACTGTATATTTAAGTCAAGTATCAAGTCTTTATTTGGTTGCTCATGTTGCTATCTGTCCAGTTTATACTGACTTGTCAGAGAAGCACTGAGAAACATGAGTAAATCTGAATCTAATTACAACAGAGTATTTCATTTAATGAATGTGTTTCTTAGATTCATTCTCAGTGTGTACAGGAAAATTTCAGAAGTATGCTAAAAACCTTTGCCAAACAAGTAAAGAACACATTTAAAATCATGACTTTAAACAATGAAAATGATTACTTGCAAATCTTAAAAGATCAGCACAAGATTCTTTTGATACGCAGAGGATTAGAGAACAGTGGAATGGCCTTAAAATTGCCTGTGATAAGGAAAGCTAGATCCACCCAGTGCAACTGATTGGTCAGCAGATGGTAGTTTTTTAAGCACTGGTCTGCTGCTAACTGCTACCTTGAAAAGCCAGGGTTGCCTCGCTAACCCCAAATCCTGCTTCGTCACTCAACTTACAGACTGTTTAAGAGAGGTGAAGTATTATGTAAGTTCTCTTCAGTGCACGGTAGCAGATGCAGAGAGAAATTCATCAAACTGGCAGCTCTAATTTTCTCCACAGAGAGGGCAAACTCAGTGAATGATTACAGCCAACACAGATGGCATACCCTGCCTGCCAGAGGTGGTTGGAGTTGGATATGATCCTTCAAATCAGTGGTGATGTGTGAGCTACAACCCACAAATATGGGAGACATTTGTGTTACTAATAACATTTGGCATCTATTCTGATATATATAAAAAGAAGAAAAACAGCACTGTCACTGTATCAGTGATAGCCACAGCTTGACCAGGAAAAGCTGAATATGAGCTTGCAAGAACAAAGCATCTCTCTCTTTCTTTAAATGACACATTTGCAGAAGGATTAGATGAATGCAATTAACATTCTTGATTGACAGGTAGCATTTTTAACAAAAACAAACAGAAAAACAGAGTCCTCTTTGTGAATATGCACAGTTATGAAAAAGGACCCTCCTGGCAAATTGTTGAGGTAATTGATTTATGTCCAAATACATGTGTCATCCAGTTTGTGGATAATTATTTAAAAATAAAAGAAAGAAAGAAAGAAATCAGACTGTCTAAAGAAATCTGCTCCAAGTGATTTATATAAGAAAAAGAGTTTTTTCAGCAAGCCACTTGACATACAAGCTAAACTGAATAAGTGAAGACAAGATGTGACTTGATCTATTTCAATTCAGCACATCCCACCCATCATTATCTCCGAAATACTTCCAGCACTAACAAAAGACCGCTTAAAGGCTACATTTTAACATCAGAACCTACAATCAGATAGGCCTTCAGCAAGCTTTTCACAGCTGGCTTTGACTAAAGGGCTAGAAAAATGCAAACATTTCGAATCCCTAGACCAAAGTTAGACACACGCACGATCAAGGAAGAAGGCATTATTATACAGTAACGTACAAACTAGGAAAGAGAACAGGGTGGAATTTTCCATCCAAAACCCTTTTAGGTTCAGGGGCTCTGCCTGGGCCATAAACGGGTCTACTCCGAGGTGGCTAGCCCCCAGGGACCTCTTTAGAAATGACTTGTGTTTGTCAACCAAAGAGAGGGGGACCAGTGGAAAATTACCAGTCCCGCACTCAGTCACGCAAGCACACATGCACACACACAAACACACACACTTGATCAGGACCACCTGTAGCCACATATCTACCTCTCTCAATGGTTATGTGACAGCTTGCGTTTTTAATGGGTGAGGGTGCGGGGGGCATGGTTGCGTTGTCAGGACGCACCAACCCGCAAACTACGCAAACGATGACACTGGATGATGTTCGCATCCATGCACATTTCCAAGAAAATATCCGCGACATGTCTAGCGTGCGACGTGTGACTGTGGGTGTGTGAGTGAGTGCACAGTGAGCAGCTTTAAAATGCTCTAAGCGAATGAATCCACGTATGAGTGCTGTGTTAATGTTTGCAACCCACATATATCTAATATGCTGGTCTACTGGAGCACAGAGAAATGGATGCCTCAACAACAATTCCCAGAGGTGCCCTGTCATGTACATTTGCACCTGATGCAAAGAGATGAGAATACCAAAGAAACTAATGCTGCATTCAGAGTTTAAAAGCAGAACAAGATCCAAACTAATGCTTTACCTGAGTTCCAAGGCAGCTCACCATCATGTGAGTGAGCAGTTTGGCAGCAAACATGGGGAAACGGGAGCACAGCACATGGGATATTATGGCCAATGCAAAGCCTGTAGACAGAGAAGTCAGCATTAATGATACTTAATTAAGTGATTTCTTTGAATCCATTTATACAAGTGGGGATGTACATATGGAAACTCCACAAGGAGGGTAAGAAGATGAGAACTCAAGGGGAGAGTGTGTTGTACCTGAGATACAGATAAATCCTGAGGCAAAGAAGGCTTCATTGTAGGATGCAAGCTTTGCAAACTCAGCGTGGGCTGCATAGATAGACAAGTGCGTGCATGCACACTCAACATAATTCCCACTTTCTTCCACAACCCTGCAGTATTGACCATTTGATGACCAGCTAAAGGGAAGACAAAAAGAGACAATAAGAGACGAGACACTACAACAGAATATAAAAAAATACGAGCAAAGCAAATACAAAGGGCAATGAGTCTAACCATGCCCATGATTGTGTGCTATTTGTTCTCTGACATTTTGGCTTCTTTGAGTTTGTTTTATTATTATCTACAGTAACCTTTACTTTGCAAAGAATGTGTGAGACAAACCAGAGCATAACCATGTTTGTGTTAGATTCACTGTTACTGTGATTCTGACTCTCTCTCTCTCCATATTTTGCTCTCTCTTGGTATCACTTGCATAATAAATTTTGCTTCCTGGGGTACGTCCTCCAAGTAGCTGCTCTGTCCAAACCAAACCTGCCAAAAACACTGTGTTCCTGCCAAGTCCAATTTCAATCCCCAGGAATGTCCTCAACAAAGTAACTCAATGTGGGATGATTCAGCGTGCAGGAGACAGATATAAAGGAGAAAGATACGGCATCAGCCACAGAGAGGCCTTATTGAGAGGACAAACTAGGAACTCTGCCCTTTATTTAGCAAACTATTACCCAAAATAAGTATAAGGAAGACAAACAGAGGCCTTCTTTAGATGCTAATCAAGCCAGGTGTAGTCTTAAATAAGGAAAGTAGTACACTGGTTGAGCTAAATTACATCGAGTAAAAAATAAATTAGTAGGCAGACACTAGAACTAGAAAAAACCTCAGCAACTGATATTATCAGGTAGCAAAAATAAATGGAAATATTTGCATATAAATAAAAATATACATCTTATATTTTTGTATATAATGTGCACATTCTATTTTTAGTCTATCTGAGAAACAGTTAAGCTTGAATCTCATTTAATGTGTTTTTGTTACCTTCCAGTGGTCTGGTTCCAGAGAAGGCACTGAGACTGGCCTGGTTTAACCTGCTGACCGGGGCTGTGGATACGATACACCACCTCGTTGCCATCTTCCAGAGGTCGTGACCCTCTGCCCTGGAGACTGGCTGAGAATACCTACGTATAACCAGATACAACAGAAGACGGTTCAGTTGCAGAGCAGCCACCAGATTAATGGCTGCTTTATATCAGAGCCATACTGCCACCTGCTGTTTAAAAAAAGAAAAGGAGATTTTGACATTTTAACAATTGCTCATGATTTTTCAATGAAGTCAGTGTCCCAGCACCTACTTTCCCATTGAGAGCAGTAGCTGCATCACTGGTGCGAAACCAATGTTCATTTCTAAACTCGGTCAGCTGCATCCTGTTGAGGTTGCCGCAGTCCGCAGTTAAAACTGCTGGTACTGGCAGCAGAGTATTTGGGAGCTGGAAGAAGTCTGCATTACGGCCCCTGAACTTGTATCCATTAATTTCTGTGGGGTACCACTGGAAGGCAGAGATGTTCATATACGGACAAGTTTCCAGGACTGTAACCTTTCTGGAGAAAAATTTTACAAAGAAGAAATTGTAAATCCAAGCACGATTTAACATTAATTTGTGAGGTAATATTCATCTGTATTACAATAAGGTGTACCATGCAACTCTTCACTCATTTAGAACATTTAGGACACTCACATCTCACACTGACTATGTTTAAGGAGGGAGAATGCAAATCGCTCCGCCACCTCAGCAAGGTGGCTGACACCTCGAGTGTCGACTCGACTGGGATTGGCCAAGGCACACAACAGGTTATAGGTCAAATTCCGGCTGTTGTTCTGTAAAGGAGCTCTTTCTGCCTCTGCAAGCACCTGGCTCAGAAGACAGAAAGGATGAGAAAGACTGAGGAGCTCTGAGTAAACTTTAGTGCTGTTATTCACACATCCAAAGCACTCACCTGAGTTACTTTCTTTAGTTTGACCTTCAGGGTCATGCGCATTGTGTGTGCTCAGAATGCATTTTTCTCTGTAGTCCCTACTTCTTATTTACTCTTTCTAAACATGTCCCTGTATATTCTGTTTATTCTTTTGTGCAGCTGGTTAAGAAGATGCAATAAATAGATTCTAATTTCAACTTCATGATAGCAGCAATCTTATTAAGTGAGAACTAATGAATGACAGACTGGTCCACAGAGCTATCAAAGTAGCTCATGGGAGGCGATGTATGGTCTTTAACTAAGCTGACAGACACAAACAACTACACTGACTCACAGTCACATGCAATCACATAGATTATCCAATATTTTATACACTTATGCAGTAATTTAAAAAAAAAATTTGCTTGGTATAAAAACCAGATGATTGGGCTTACCTTCCCCAGACCTTCAAACACAGCGATCATCTGCTCATTATTGAGAGGTGGACTGACTTTATCTATTAGTCCCTGCAGCACCAGGTCCAATGTAGGAGTTTCAAGGGGTTGATGCAACTGGTCCAGTAAGACCCAGACAGCTTCACTTGCTGCATTTGACACCAGAGTCACATTAGCCAGGCCAAACTGGGAGTGTACTGTGGCACCTCCTGTTGGATTGTATAGCTCCACTTGGAAGCGCTTAGGTGTGGATAAAGATGAGGCACGGTCAGGTGTTAGGTAAATCTCCAGTGATGTGTTACGTTTGCCCACATCAAAAGTCAGCTGGCCCTCCTGCTTAGGGAAGTCCATCCCTGCTTCAGCAGGCCAGATTATAAATGGACCCACCACCTCTTCTCTGGAAAGCTCCTAGAAGAAGAAAAAGAAATAAAAACATGCTAAACTCTGCTGGACTTAATTAAAGGAGCAAGTGAAGAATGGAGTTATATAACCACCATCATATTTAAAGAAATGTATGAAAGGTGACACAACATATAAAGTTTTCAGCTGAAAAGAATGAACAAATCATACATTAAACTTGTAAAGGCACAACTTCCATTTGGTATACAATGGTCTAAATGCAAATAAAGCCCAGTGAAGTTGCCCATTCATGATAATTAGGCTGAAAGCAACCAAAATGTGAACCAAATGGGGACTGGGCTTTTATTATTCAGCAAACCTGGTGTCTCACAAAATGCTTTGAGAGATGAAAGCGGATGACCCAGCCGTGTGAGGTTTTTGATTTTTTTTAGAGTGCACTCAACAATCTTTCATCTCCACTTTCAAAAAGTACAAGCACCAGTAGATACTTTACGCCTTGGGGCTATGTGCAGAAATCTTTAATCATAATCCCTCATAGAGAAGGAGGGTGATAATGAGATTAAAGAGGTGAGGAGAGGGGGAAAACTTTGGTCTCTGTCTGTGTACTTCATCAATAAACCATTACGTGTATTAAAATATATAAAAAGCATTCCTGACAGACAAAATAAGAGGCAACAAAACAAAATGTTTTTTTGTATTTGGAAAAAAAAAAGCTTAGATAAAAGCTCATAATAACAAACCCATGCAGAAGACTGAAAAAAATTAATATAATAGGTCTTGGTGCTTAATTGCTCAAAATGGCTTAAATAATAAAAAATAGATCTGTACACTATGAGATGCCTTTAAAGCCAAGGTCTTAAAGTCAGCTTAACTGGTCCAGAAATAAACAGTTAAACATTTTTCTGGTGTTACGATTTCATTTCAGTAGGTAAATAGTGTAAAACATATTTGCTTATATAGGAAATATCTGTTACACAGAGTGGTGATAGCATGAC